CCCCCCCCCTTGTACAGTTTCTTTAAAAGACAAGGAGAGTTTCCTCTATAACTAAACAAATATACTCACCAAAGAAGCCAAATTTCTCCTATAGGTAGGGCAATGCCCACTTTTTACTTTAGGTGTAGGTCAAGATTTCTGGAAACCCTCGAAATCTGGGTTAGCCCGCGTGGGCTTCAATATAAAAGCGACCATTTATGTGTTCATCCCTCGCAGGCACTGGCAGATTATTCCAAAAAACGGTTCCTCATATTCCTGTCCCCATGGTTTTATGCACCCCGCATAATTTAGCAAAATTTGATCATTTTTTGCATAATTTTTGATTATTTTCCTTTATCATTCTTTGTTAAAATTAACAGAATCGCATAATTTCACATTTGTGTGCTCAGTTTGCATAAGTTCAGAAATTTTCTTGCATAAAACTGCGGGGACAGATATTCTAACGTCCATCTCCGACAGGACTGAGTCAAGTGAGTAGAGAGGCTAAAAAAGAAAAGAAATAAAATTACCCTCACCAAACAGCACAGGTAAAATAAAACGCTGTTTGGATTCAAACCAGGGTCTTCGGCACCATAACTCTTCCAAACCTTGTTCCGGGTACGTAGAAGGCACAAGAAGATTTGATAAGAAACATAATTTGAGACTTACGGGTCTGTTAAGATTAAGACCCATTACAACTCTTCATTTACTGCTGCAATTACATGAGTGGCTGGTGTTGTAGAGACATTGACCTTTTAGCTAAAAAAAATCGGAAAGGCCTGTTCTTTATATTTTTTTAATGGGGTAAAGTAAACTTGTTCCCGCATCCAATCCGGACATTGGGGATTTCCTTGTTAGTGAGACAACTTCAAGGACCTTCGGTATATTGTGGTAGGGTGGCCAGTTCCTTTCCACGCCGCCTTTACTTCCCCAACTCGAAGTCAGGTACCCATTACTGCTGGGTGGACAAGTGGGGGCGAAAATAAATCCGTGTCCGAACCGAGGCTCGAACCCAGACTTACCGCTTCGGAGACGTTTATGGGATACCTGTCGATTATTGTCAGTTCTAAATCATAAGTGTCCTGAGTACACTCCCTATCAGATTGAGATTCATTTCATTGAGGGAGTAGAGGCCAGCCAGAATTTTTCCTTCATTGAGGAGCAAAAGCTACCGTATTTGGCGCAAAACGACAGAGTCGACTCGCAACCTTGAAAAACAGCACGTTTAATTTTGTAGCTCACCATCAGATTTAGTTTAATCTGGTCGTATTGTACCAAAATTATAGTATTTGCAACATCCATGAAGTCAAATATGACTGGCCCCAACACAATCAAATGAACCATATCGGCAGCGTGCAGTGTGCACTGGGTATAAGGGTCGGGACATTAATCAGAACGTGCTACATGTTTTACAACAGTAAGACTATCTTGACACCTCAGTCAATTTTCAAGCTAAAAAACAAAACAAAAACAAAACAAAAAAACGACTAGAGTAAGCGGTATAAGTACAACATGTACAGATCTACTGTAATGCTTTGGTCCAGCGCTTCGACGATACAAAAGGGGAGACATTTTTGTTTGGAGTATCTCCATCTGTTGGCTGGCTTGTTGTGTCCCCATCAGATAATATGTACCTAGGCGAGGGAGAGAGTCTGGAATTTGCGTCACTCTTCCTCACTTTACAAACCTTTTGTGCAAGTCATTGTCAAACACCTGCTCATATCTATTCTGTCCCGTGTCGGCGTGTTCATGTGAACTTATGCAGTTGCTTTATTTTTTAAAAGTGTTTTACGGTGCTTGAAACACAATAAGGTCATATAGGGCCGAAGATTAGAGGTGTTACAAGAGAGCAACAAACACAAAAAAGAAGGAGGAGAGGTCAGGATGATAGATGTTTGATAGGAAAGAAGGAGCAAACCACACCAGAGCACCCGCCAACCACCCACGTGAGTCTGGTATTTGCGCAACTCTTTCTCACTTTCAACAAACCTTTGCGACAGTCAAACAGCTACTCTGTCATTTGCCGGCGTGCTCATATGAACGTATGTCATTGCGAGCCTTAAAACTTTTCCAAAGTGAAATTTTACCTTTTCTCTGTCGTAAATTCTGCAGTCGAGAGAGAATCCAGCAAGCTGCTTTTAGTTATAGTATGTTTTGCGGCGCTCGCAACTGCATAAGGTCATATGTGAGGCAGCGTTGTGGAATCAGGCTCTCGTCAATTTTTGGGCATGTAGAGTTATTGGTATCATCGTAAAGCTTGTTCACTTGTGTTTATTAGGATGAAAAAAATGTCCATTTATCTTGAATACAAGTCGAGATATTTGCAAATGAAGGAGGTGGGGTCACCTGTTTTCAGAGGTAAAATTAGTGAGAAAATGGCCGCCAAAGATTAGTTATTTCCTTAGCTTAAAAGTCCGTGGTAACTGAAAATTTACGGGTTTTTTTCCTTTAATCAACGTTTTTCGAAAAATACAGACAGAAATGAGTTCTTTAATGAGCATGAAAGATGTTGAGCCCAAAAACAAAAATTTCATAAAAATTCACAAACCTGCGGAAAAATCCAAGTTTCTTCACTTTGATGATTTTGACGAGAGCCTGATTCCACAACGCTGCCTCACATATGAGCGCCAGAAGATTAGAGGTGTTACAAGAGAGTAAAAAAAATAAAAAAGAAGAAGGGGAGATAAGGACGATAGATGTTTGATAGGAAAGAAGAAGCAAACCACACGAGAGCAAGCTGCGTACACCCACATTGGAAATGTAGCTCTTACCTTTTAAATGCTCAAAATGAGGCAAACTCTACCAATGATAGTACATAACTATCATTGACTCTACTCTGCGAGAATTGGTCTCATTGGCCACAGCAAAAACCATAAATCATCTTCTGGCAGAATCTATATTTCTTCTCTTTTTCTGTAGGAAATATTCTCCAGTACAGATGCACTTGTCATCGTCAGACCTTGACAAGTGGCGTCGTACCGGACTAGTAATCGTGAGATTGCGAGTTCGGGGGTTCGATCCTCAGCTCGGTCCGACGTTGTGTCCTTGGGAAAGACACTTTACACGAACTTCCCACTTGGCTCAGTCCTATCGGAGACGGACGTTAAACTAGGAGGTCCCGCTCCTTAAATAACCTAACAGTGTTGACAGGGGCGTTAAACCTATACCATTTCAACAGACCTTGACAGACAACCTATTGTTACAGAGCCCACTAGACCATACACAGGTACATGTCGTAGAGTGCTGTCAATCACGATACAGAGCCTAGTCACATGGCTTCAGTTTTATGTTTTAGTAGAGGTTTTACGGCGCTCGCAACTGCATAAGGTCTTATGAGCGCCAGAAGATAAGAGGTGTTACACGGGAGTAACAAACATAAAAAAGAAGTAGGGGAGATAAGGAAGATAGATGTTTGATAGGAAAGATTAGTAAGAGAAAGTTTCACAGCCCTTGCAACAGTTACATGCCGAAGATTCGGGGTATTGCTAAAGAGTAATTAACACAAAAAAGGAGAGGAGATACGGTCGATAGAAGTTTGACAGGAAAGAAGGAGCAAACCACATCAGAGTAGCCGCCAACCACCCACTAGTCACAAGGACAACCCTGACATGCTAACAATTCCTGTCTTGTCATCTGGTTTAGTTTTTGTAGGTTTTACAACACAACACAAACAGGTTATATCAATGCAAAAGATTTTTTTTTTAATGTTTTAGTAGAGGGTTTTACGGCTCTCGCAACTGCATAAGGCCATATGAGCACCAAGGGGTGGGTGTCAACAGAGAAGTCCTTACAGGAAATCAGACTTACTCTGCTCGCCTCTCTAGCTTCAACAGCACAAGGTCTGCTTCGACTATCAAGGCACCCCGGAAATAGCAGGTCACAATAGAGTGACAAACATACAAAAGAAGTAGAGGAAAATGACAATAGTAAGGATCAGGAAAGAAAAAGCAGCAGTTCCCTGTTGTAGATTGAGTGTGACATGAATCAGCCCATTTACAATTCTACTATGCTTGAACGAGAAATGTCCCCCCCTTTGGAAAATTAAGTTAAGTTGAATGCAGAAGATTAAGTGTTACTAGATAGTAACATGTTTTTATAAAGAGCACAGACAAGGACAATAGATGATAGGAAAAAAAAGGAGCAAACAACACCACAACACCGGCCAACCACCCACCCACATTTAAAACTGAAACTTCTGCAAGGTAGACCAAGTTCATAAGAGTTTCAACAAAACACAACTACATTTGAAATAAAACATTCCAGGCAGGGACAACAAAGGAACAAATGACTCAAGTTATAATAACAAGTTTATTTTCTTCACCTCCTCAGTTGTGCTCTAGGAGTGAGAAATCAAAAGAACAAAGCAATACACAAACCTTCAATCAGCCGTGGAAGCTTCAGACACAGCAAATATCCCTGCACATAACACACATAATCTCACCATCCCCATCCACTACTGTTTTACGCTCAGTCAATTCTCACTCATCAACACCGCGCATTATCAGTCTCACATTACAAAAGAGAATCCTCATTAAGAACAACGGACATCCACACAAAGTACAGGACTTTACTTCTATCACGAAGGATTGTAACAATCTCAAGAACACATCCTCTCAGCAACATAACCATTTAAACAATTTATTAAAAGAAACATCCACCAATGTGGTAAAGGACACTCATTTTGCAATGGTTGTAAATTTAAATAGAGAACTGTCAATGATTTGTACAAGAAAAAGCACCCTTCCAAGAGAGGTTTATGACAAAATAATGACAGAAGCATGAGAAAAGAAATCTCCTTGTCAAATTCAAAGATTGTAATAAAACCTACCAAAGTCCACTGCAAGCAAAATCTGGAAATCTGCACTGCACATGAATAGCTATTTGTGGTTGTTATAAAAGACATGTTTTAACATAACATGCAATGTCTCGGAAATCCTCAGGAAAGAAAAATGAAAGTACCCAACCCATCTTTGTAGCTAATTGTTTTTACTTCAAGGATCAAGCCCATGCTATAAACACACATACCTGGGCTTGATCAAGCCCATATTGGGCACTACAACAAGCCTGCGTTATAACAAGCCTGTATTAGATCAAACTTTGAATCTCCTTCTTAAATTGGTCGTAGGCACCATCCTTGGTCTATGCGTACTGGACCAAGCCTGTACTCTATCAACCCCGTACTTAAACAAGCCTGTACTCTATCAACCCCATACTTAAACAAGCCTGTACTCTATCAACCCTATACTTGAACAAGCCTGTACTCTATCAACCCTATACTAGACCACGCCTGTACTCTATCAACCCCATACTTGAACAAGCCTGTACTCTATCAACACCATACTTGAACAAGCCTGTACTCTATCAACCCCATACTTGACCAAGCCTGTACTCTATCAACCCCATACTAGACCACGCCTGTACTCTATCAACCCTATACTAGACCACGCCTGTACTCTATCAACCCCATACTTGAACAAGCCTGTACTCTATCAACACCATACTTGAACAAGCCTGTACTCTATCAACCCCATACTTAAACAAGCCTGTACTCTATCAACCCTATACTTGAACAAGCCTGTACTCTATCAACCCTATACTAGACCACGCCTGTACTCTATCAACCCCATACTTGAACAAGCCTGTATAAGATCGCGCCCGTACTAGATCAAGCTTTTTATCTCCTTCATGAACTGGTCGTAAGCGTCCCCCTAGGTCTCTGTACCGGACCATGCCTATACTGTACCAACCCCAACCTTGAGTAAGCCTGTAATAAATCGTGCCATTACTAAATCAAGCCCTCCATCTCCTTCATGAACTGGTCGTAAGCGTCGTCCTTGGTCTTGGTCTGAGCTGCCGGTGCTGGCTGTGGTCTGGCCTGGGCGCCAATCACCCGAAGCTCCTCCTCCTTGCCTGAAGGGTGGAGAAAAGTTATTTTTAAAGTTTTAGTAGAGGTTTTACGGCGCTCGCAACTGCATAAGGGTCATATGAGCGCCAGAAGATAAGAGGTGTTACAAGAGAGTAACAGACATGAAAAAGAAGAAGGGGAGATAAGGACCATAGATGTTTGATAGGAAAGAAGGAGCAAACCACACCATAGCACCCGCAAACCACCCATTGAAGAGAATTTTGCGAACCTGTTTGAGTAAAGAGAAACACATCGACAAAATACCGATCACTTAGCACAGGGTGAAAGAAAGACACAAAGAAACAAAGGTAGGTTTTACGAGACAGGCCCTCCAGCCATCGGCCCACAACTGATGACTTCTTTAAGAACAGGCCTTGCACCACAGACGGTCAACAGGTACTAGACATTGACAGTTGGCGATAAAGACTTAATAGGCCTTCATGGATGAGTGAGGTTCAAGAAAAGAATAAAATTGGGAGGTTTCGCCTGAAAAATTGCTAGTCTTAGGTCTTTGTCTGAAAAAAATGTTTCTTCCATCAAAAAAGGCAACCCCCTCCCCTAATACCACTGAACTCAAGAAAAAATACACACAAGTCAATATATCCTTATGGCAACAAAAACAAAATCAACCCCCCCCCCCTCCCCTCGACTCCCCCACCCCAACAAAGAAAGGAAATGGTGATGACCAGCCCTATCATTTGTTATATTTACATCATCATCATCAGATCTGCGACAGACATCGGCGATCATGGTTCTCCATTCATTCCTTTGCTCGGATGCTTTCAAAAAAGCTACGTTTCCCTGATCTTTTCCTGTTACCCATTTGTTCAGGTTCCCTAAGTATGTTGTTCTGAACCTACCCCTGCCTCGCTTGCCCTCAATTTTTACATACAAGAATAAAATTGGAAACGATGTTGCATACACAACTCTATTACAAGAAAAACAAACAAAAAAAACAAAACAAAAAAAAACAAGAGAACCCTCCAGCGCCCACAGCAGCTGCGTACCTGTCTGCTTGATCCTGCCCTTCTGGTCGCGGATCTCCCTCTTAACCTTGAGCGCGGTGGGCATGAAGCGCGTTACGTCCCCCATCTTGCTCTTGATCTGCGGCTTGGCCTGGATGGTGACCCTGGACTGGCCGCCCTCGGCCCCGTCCTCTCCCCCGCGGGGCCGCATGATGCTGGGCGGGGCGCTCAGGATGTTGGGGTTCACCGGGCCAGGGGGAGGGATGCCGCCCTGGGGTGGGGGGATGGACGGGGGCAGGAGGCCAGGAGGCATGCCCAGAGGCCGCATCATGCGGGGGGGAGCACCTGGGGGGAGAGAAGGGAAGAAAATAACGCTCCACTTTTTTTAAAAGCTCGTAGACGGGGCAATGTAATGTATCAGCTTAACAAAGCTCGTAGTTCAAAGTTATGTTCCACTATTCCACAAAGCTCTAAAACAGAGTGACTTAATGTACCACTATTTGACAAGGCTTGAAGACTGAGCAATGTAATTTATCAGTTTAACAAAGCTCGTAGTTAAAAGTTGTGTTTCATTATTTCACAAAGCTCTAAAACAGAGTGTTTCATTATTTCACAAAGCTCTAAAACAGAGTGACTTAATGTACCACTATTTGACAAGGCTTGAAGACTGAGCAATGTAATGTATCAGTTTTACAGAGCTTGTGGACTAAAGTTGTGTTCCACTCTTTCCCAAAGCTCCAAATCCGAGCGAAATAATGTCCCACTGTTTCACAAAACTCACAGAAAAAGTAATGTAAAACTTTCACCGTCACAAAGCTGGTAGTAAAGAGTAAAATAATGGAAGCAATGTACCGTTACTTCACCAAGCTCATAGATCAGAAAGGTTACTTTTCCCCCACAGCCTTCATGCAGTATATCAAATATGTAAGGGACACATATAGTGAGGTAAGCCATTGTCCTAAAAAGTATAGGCAAAGTACAAATTTCTTCTCAATACAGGGCCAAAAATTTAAGAATTCAAATCAACTTGAAGGAGACAACTCTTGCTATCGAGAACTTTTTGTTAAAAATGAAATTTTAAAAATCAATGTTTTAAGACTCAAATACTTTATGGAAAAAGTGTTGTTGATACTTGAAAAAAAAAATAATTAAAACTCTGGGACAAAAAAAAGTGACAGAACCCAGATAGAATACACAACAAGAGTGTTCCCTTTAAAAGAAACAACAAAAAACCAAACCAACACCACTAGTCTTTCTATACCGATATTTAAGATATAAAACAGCATCATTATGTTTTTAACAACATACAAAGCAATTGAATAATGAACAATTAGCATGTTCTAGAACTATCTTGAAGTGCCAGAAACAACTGTCAACTTGGAGAATAAAAAAAAGTAAAACAGAACAAAATGTGTCGCGACGCGGTGGAATCAGCCTTCCTCAATTTCGGGGCATATGGAGTTATTGGTATCATCTTAATTTAAAGCTTGTCCATTTGCCTTGCTTTTGATGAAAACAATATCTATTTATCTTGGATAGAAGTCAAGATATTGGTGATTGAAGGAGGTGGGGTGGCCTGGTTTCAGAGGTAAAATTAGTGAGAAAATGGCCGCCAAAGTTGAGTTATTTCCTAAACTTGAGAGCCCATCTAAACTAAACATTTACATCTCTTATGCCTTAAATCAACATTTTTCCGCACAATCCACACAGAAATGTGTTCTTTAAAGGGCGTGAAAGGTGTTGAGCCAAAAAACAAAAATTCTTTTAAAATTCCCAAACCTGCGGAAAAATGCCAGTTTCTACACTTTGACTATTTTGACGGGAGCCTGATTTCACCACGCTGCCTCACAAATGAACTTGAGTAGTGAAATTGGGGTACTCACCCATTGGAGCAGGTATGCGCATGGGGGGAACACGGAGGTTGGGGGGCAGGCCCGGGGGAGGACCAGGGGGCATCCCGTGTGGTCGACCAGGTGGGGGGCCCGGGGGGAGGAGTCGGGGAGGACCCCCTGGGGGTCCGCGGAGGGGCGGCGGCATCATGAACATGGGCGGGGCTCCGGGGGGAGGACCTGTGGGGAGATGTTAGAGGGTTAGTTTGAATGTGGCAAAGACCATTCCATCAAAATCTGTTCTGTCTCCCACATCAACACATAAATGATTTTCCCATTAAAATCTGTTCTGTCTTTAACATCAACACATAAATGATTTTTCAATCAAAATCTGTTCCGTCTTTCCATCAATACATAAATCATTTTCCCAGTAACATTTTTTCTCTCCCGCACATCAACACATAAATGACTTTTCAATCAAAATCTGTTCTGTCTCTCACATCAACATATAAGTGACTTTCCAATCAAAATCTGTTCTGTCTCTCACATCAATACATAATTGATTTTACCAGTAAAATTTTTTCTCTCTCTCACATCAACATATAAATGCTTTTCAATCAAAATCTGTTGTTCCTCACATCAACACATAAATGATTTTCCCATCAAAATCCGTTCCGTCTCTCACATGAATACATAATTGATTTTACCAGTAAAATTTGTCATCTCTCTCACATCAATATATAAATTTTTTTCAATCAAAAACATGTTGGCCTATATGATTTTCTTATCAAAATCTGTTCACAATCTCTCACATCAACACATTGGCCTACATGATTTTCTTATCAAAATCTGTTCTGTCTCTTACATCAACACATAAATGATTTTCCCACCAACATTTTTTCTCTCACACATCAACACATAAATGTGGCGTCGGTGGCCTAGTGGTTAGGCTCTCGGACTAGCAACTGTAAGGTCGTGGGTTCGAATTCCGTCAGGGACCCGACGTTGTGTCCTTGGGAAAGGCACTTTGCACAAATTTTCCTCACTTCACCCAGGTGGAAATGGGTACCCAGCTATAGACAGTGAAAGATCTTGTCAGTTTGATAGTGTTTGAGCGCGTGAAATCCGCAGCTTGCACTGTATGCTTCCGCGGAAGCTGAAAATGTTTCTGAGTGTTCTCAGAGGGTCTGCTGGGGTAATAATAGTTGTAAAGCGCATAGAGCATGCTCTTGAGCATGGATATGCGCTATATAAATGCAATTATTATTATTATTTCATATCTACATTTTTTCTGTCTCTCACATTAACGCATAATAAATGAATTTCCCAATCAAGACCTGTTCACAACCTCTGACAAGTGGAACCTCACCTGGAGGAATGCCGTGGATCCCCGCCACATTGGGAGGCAGGCCGGGCGGGGGTCCCGGGGGGTTCATCTTGGGCGTGAGGTGCAGACTCTCCGCCTCCAGCTCCGCCTCCTCGGCCAATCGGGCAGCAGCGATGGCGGCAGCATCTTCCTCCGACAGTTTTTCGACCGGGTCCTCCAGTCCTGGCGGTCGGTCATCCAGCTGAGAAATTTCAGCGCGTCTCCTCGCAATTTCTTGATCTTTGAACCTGATCCTTTCTTCCTCTTCCTAGTAAAATAAAAAAAGGAACAAAGACAATGGCATAAATGTTAACAATACAAAATGTTTCAAAATTTTAAACCAGTTTCCCGTAGGTTAGATTGAAACCTTTCCTGTTACACCTTACTGAAATGTTTCGAAATTTAAAACCATTTCCCATAAGTTTGCTTGAAATCTTTCCTATAACACCTTACTGAATTCAATCTATCGATCCACGCCAGAAACCAATTTTGACCTTTTGACACCTTTCATGGTCTATGGAATGAAAAGGAGTCTCAAGATATGAAAAGTAATTGAATATTTTCCCAATCTTCCTCGTCAAATCTGGTCCCTTTTAAAGTTATATTGAAATTAATTTTAAGCATTTCATCTGAAAATTTTCCACAGCATGTACTCTATAATCCCACATTTCACTTTTTTGTCCAGTTATTCAAGAATCCTTTTAACTTGACCAAAACAGATTTATTTCTGAACTGTCGAAACAATGTCACAAACAAGTGGTGAACACAGCTACCAGTACTTCTAAACATATGAACATGCGCACACAAAATACTGAACATACCCTTCGGCTCATAAGTCTGTGCTTGTATCTGTCATCATCTTCATCTTCTGATGATGATGATGATGAAGAGGATGAAGATGACGATGACGATCCACCCTCTTTTTCAAAGTCAGGCGTGTCCTGCCCAGCCATCTTCAACATCATGGCCTGAAGAGCGGAAACCTTCTTTTTGCCTCCGTCACGTTTTTCCCTCTCCATTTCTCGCTTCTTTCGTTTCCTCTCCTTTCTTTCCCTCTTTTCCTGTTTTCTACGTCTTTCTTGAGCTTCTCTTTCTTCCTCCTCCGAGTCTCTGTCATCTTCATCATCATCAGCAAAGCGAATACGTCTGGATTTTTCTGGAATGCAAACATGAAACAATATCAACTTCATTCTTGGAAAAACACTACACTTGTACGTAAGTACAATTGAACAGCAAGGCCACAGTTCTGCACAAAAGGTAAGAGACTACTTTTTGGTGATAGGGTAGAGGAATATTTAGTGATAGGAGCAGAGTAATTTAGTGATAGGGAAGGAGACTGCTATTTACAGACAGAGGAATGGACTGTTACTTAGTGGAGGGAAAAGGATGGCTATTTCAAGATGGGGAAGGGGACTGCTGTTTATTGATAGGGTTGGAGGACTGCTATCTAACTTTTAAAAAGTCATTTCCAGAACATGGACTCAAAGCATTCAATTACAGTCAAGAACTTGCGATACTAGATAAAACAAAGTAAGCCGTAAATCACAGTTGAGGTCAATGCAAAGTACTGACAAAGAAAGACATGGTGCTAGCATGTCGTACGAGGCGACTAAATGGTAGGGCTGTACCCCGGTAGCAAACACGCTCGCGCTCGCAAGACCCTAGTTCAAGTCACAAGCCTCAAATCACTAGGTCAAATCATCAAATCAAATCACCAGCATGATACGTTGAGTCTAGCCTAAGCTTCAAGTACACACACCAAATTGCAATCCGCGAAGCCACTCGTGTCTGACCCCCTCTTCCGTCCCCTCCCTGCTAGCAATCCGCGAAACCCGTAACGTCAGAAAGAGAGGAGGGGGGGGGGGGGGGGGAGAGACCCCGCGCGCAGTGTCACTGCGCCACAAACTAGTCTGTTCGATTATTCGAAGGCATACGAGCAGCGGACGGCAGACAAGACTCAAATCACAGCAAAGCAAAGCACTTGGTCCCAAGACCTGCTTTGCGTCTCGTATTGCTTTGTGCTAAGGGCTTGCTCTCCTGTCAATAAATCTGCTTTGGGTCCAACTACCGCCCTGGCAAAACAACACCGCTCGTCAGTACAACACCGCTCGTCGGGCAAACACAGCTCGTGGGGCAAACACCGCTCGTCTGCACCGAGACGCAAGATCTACCGGTAATACACCCCGCTCGCGGCGTGAACTCTGAACTCTGGACGTGGAGGAAGCGAGAGGCAGCGCTGGTTTTGGTGCAAGGCGAAGAGGGCTGTAATAGTCTAGTGCAGACCGTTCGCGACCTCGGTGCTTTAACGGTGAAAATGTGACATCTTCGTAGGCTCACATTTTGTTATGAGCTGTTTTCACTGGTATTAAAAATGGAGATACGACAAGAAAGCACTGGGGTCGCGGTATGCTAAACTATTTAGGACGCAGAATAAAGGTGGGACTTACAAACAATTTTTAACTGACCAAATAAATCAGTATTATTAGCATCCCGTGGCTTGTAATTTAATCACTCGCCTAAACTGCACTTCCACTCCCACCCCGACACTTAGAACAAGTTGAAGTTGAAGAGAAAGCATTGGAGAGGGGATGACAATCGTGATTTGGTTTCTGAACAATGTAAAATACTTTTGATTTGACTTGTTCCCTATCAGAAGATCATTGTTAAGGTAAATTATATCACATTGTTAATTACATTGTAGGCCTATAACTTTTTTAAAAACATCTTGCTGCACTGTAACTGATATTATGTATGTATTGTGCATGTTCTACAATACAAATATTAATTATGATGTCGAATTACGCCCAGAAAATCAATAAAGCAAAACATAATCCTTCCCCCCAATAATTTTTTTTTTTAATCAACAAAAAACTGAACCAAAAAACCCCCCCAAAAAACAAGACAAATAAAACCCTGTCAAACCAGGAGGCGTAAGGGGAGGGGTGGGTTCTACGGAAAGCGCAGGGTGGCGAACACCTCTCACTTTCCCAGCCATACCACCCCCTCCCCTCCCCAAACAGAGCCATCCCTGGAAGTGTCAGGGTTTTTTAGGGCTTGTCAGCGTGCGGCACGCGGGCAGAAGTATCGCGCGCTCAGTAAACAAAAGTTTGTGACGTCACGACACAAATCAGTAAGCCCGTCCGCCGTCCACGAGTAGCAACTCCGGTAGGGGGCAAGACTCAAGCCCGCTCGCAAGCCTCTGGCACGAGCCGTCCGTTTGCTCGCAAGCCTTCGATTAATCGAGCAGACTCCAGCCCTACTAAATGGCGAACCAGGTAGTGACTCCTGAAACAGAGTCATCCTGCCTCCAGGTCGGGGGTTGAGTCATGAGGCTAACAACCTCTCTCGTAAAAAGAACCTGTTACAGAAACACATACAAGCAAAAACCATTATCTCTGCTTGGCTGATCGTGGATCTTCTCCAAATGGAGAGTTTATGATGCAAGGCAGTGAAAGCCAAAAGGACAGTCACTGCAGTGGAACCCACAAGGAGCACGAGGCAGGGGTAGGCCATGGGAAACATGGAGGAGATGCGTGGAAAGGGACATGAGAGAAATGAAGCTCACTTGGAACGAGCTTGGAAGGATGGCTCAGGACAGAGATAAATGGAAGGAGCTTGTATGTGGCCTATACCCTGCCAGGGGTGAAAGGCATTGATTGATGATGATGTCAGAGATGCCACTAACAACCTCAAGACAAAAGTCTTTTCTTCATAACACTACAAAAGAGCCAAAGACTGCCTGTCGCAGATTTCTCAACAATAGACCACAGGAAGGGACCACTGTTGCCACATTCTTATCAAGGTCACAATCAAGTCAGTAGCACTTCCAAGCACAGATTATTGCACCTGATTCTTTGATAAAGCCTCATACAACAACATGATGAATTATGACAAGCACCTGGTACATCTTCCATGGGATCTGGGATGGCTGCTAGAATGTCATCCGGATGCTCCACATCCACGTCAACTTGCCCAAGATTATCCACAATACCTGGAACAACGATTTTGACAAGAATTAGAACAATGATTTGTGTGTGAATTGGGAACAGTCATTTTAATTTTTATGTGAATTTTCAACTGTTATTTTGATGTGAATTAGGAACAATGATTTTGGTGTGAATTAAGGAAAATGATTTGGACTTAAATCAAGAACAACCATCTTGATGTCAATTAGGAACAGGGTTGTCAATGTGAATTCGAAACAACGATTTGGATGTGAAATTAGGAACAACAATGATGAGAATACAAAAACCCCCAAACATTCCCCAAATTCTGCAGCTGACCTAGTAAGCCCAGATAACAGGAGGTAACATTCATTTAATTTTAAAAGAGGCTCATCAATATGAAGACAGTCATCTTCACAGAATGATGGCACGGACATATTGATGCCATAGTTACAAGTTTCAGGATGTTCTGTTTAAATTTACTGGGAGCTATTATTAAGTACCTAAAGAGTAAGTCTGTATAAAAAGTTGACCAAAAAAAAAAAATTTTTTTAAATCGGTACCAGACGGGGTTCTCTTATCATTCACAGAGGCAGAGGATGAGAACCAACTGACGTGAAAAATGACACCCCAAAAAATAAACCCAAGTTTTCCTTGGACACACCAGCCCGTTGAATGTACAGATTTTCTGACATATGTAATCCTCATATAAAAATAGAATCCTACTGATTCTCTGACAAACTTTCACACGCACAGGCTTGTCAAAGAATAAGCTCAAACATCAAACCAGTTCAGTCACAAGAAAAGGCTGCTCAACAAATCTTCATCTATCCCCTCTGACAAATTCACAATTAAGATTACATTTTTAAAAACTGTTTAAAAAATACATCTATGCAGACTGCACAAAGAGTAACCCTATGCTTCTCATTATCACAGCATGTGCAAAGATATAATCAAGACATGATCAAATAGTGAGCACAGAATTGTAATCATGATAGATACACAAAGACCATCAAAAGGACTTCATAGGAAAAGTTATCTTTTGTGTTTATTGAAAATGGATATAAAAAGCTACCTCGTTTTATTGAATATAATATAAAAAGCCTTCTCTTTTTTAAAAATTGAATATGAAAGTGAAAAGCTATCATTTTCACTGGATATGAAAGTGAAAAGCAATTTTTTTAAAATGCACATTCAAAGTTTTGATGAGTACAAAACATGCTATGACCACGAAACAAACAACCCAGTGCTTCCACCAGCTGAAGCTGAAAAGTAAGGAAAATTCTGCCGGGGTGTGGGGGCCGCAGAGGCCCCCAGCAGGGCCCAGGGACAGCGTCCCGGCTGGGGGTTCAGGGGGCGAAGCCCCCGAAGAAATTGAAATTTAGTGCTTTTAGAGGGTTGAAAATGGCATTTGGGAGCCTGTTTGAAGAGATTGCCTAGACTAGAGCCCATAACATTTATTTTTTCACCAACATTTTGTCTTGTTTGATTTCTTCACCAACATATCTTTCCATTGCTGGCAATGTTTAAAAGCAGGTTCCCCTTTCATTGCAACTATAACTATAATTCAGTTAGTTAATTTGACGTCCACCATTGATAGCAGGCAAACCTGGGAATAATGAATAGATCATGTACCTTCACAATACAGTTGCGCAGCGTATACCCAAATTTTTTCCTCAATTTTCACGTCTGAATGTCGCCCGTCACAACCTCAGAACACCACTTCGAATTATTTTTTATTTTACCTACGGCTGGATCGGGCCGATCGCCCGACTCGATCGCCTGAAACTGAAAACAAACACGTTTGTTTTTGAGGCGACCGAGTCGGGCTATCGGCGCGAACGGCCGATCCCATCCGTAGTCTCGTAGTGGGCACCCGCGTACCAGCATATTATTATTATAATTTCTTTCATCGCGGCCCTTATTGCGTTCACGTGCCGTAGAATCTTCGCATTGATAATTTCTCTAGATCTAGATCTAGACAAATTTGCTAAAAAAGTTTCTTTCTGACAGTAATTTTTTTGTCTAAGATCACAAGTCATTTTACTTGATCAACACGCAGAATTTCCAACCGCGGCAACAATCCGAAGATAGACAGAAGGAATGAGTGAATGACAGAAAGGAAGAAATTGGCACAAAAGGTTCGCCAGATTTTGATCCATCTGCAGGTAAAAAATGTACTGCCGACCAACTCGCAATGAATTCAAGGGACATAGCGGTATAATGGCCGATTGCAGGAAAAGCGCAATCTGGCAGGTTTCAATAACTTTAACTTGTTGCCGAGAGAATTACCGTAAATATCCGTAACTGCAAGACGACAGGAAGGCGAGTACGGAATTTCGGCAGTCCTGCGCTGTCGCAGTTTTTTTTTTTACAGAGGGAGTTGATGATGAAGGAGGAACAAGTACGGAACTGGCAGAAAGTACCGATTTCCGTAAAAATACGGAAGAGTGGAAGCACTGCAACCACAAAAGAAAACAATCCCCACCTTTTTCAGGATCATACTCTCCGTCGTCCTCATCACTGTCGACTTTCTTCATCACCTCATCTTCATCTCCTCCCTCCTCTTCTTCCTCCTCCTCCTCACTGTCACTGAGCACAGGGGGTGGTCCCGGGGGAGGGCCAGGTGGCCGTCTCTTCTGGCTGTGTAGCTGGATGGGGACCTGTGGGCCAGCCATCATGGGCGGTCTGGGGAGACACATTGGGGGGGGGGGATTATTCATCTATAACTTGAAGGTAAAAAAAAATACCACTTATAATAAACCATCACTTAATATTTTCACTATGAAGGGCTTCAGAGGCACTGCACTGCAGCGTAGCGGAGCATTAATGTCAAATCGAAATGCACTGAAAGAAGAAACAAGAGGCAAGTTTTTCTGAGAGAAAAAAATAGAATATCCCTTTTCAAATTTCTTTCTCTGTACCATATGACTTATAGCAAGTATAAGAGACTATACTTTTGCAGCAAATTTTACTATTTAGATATGTCTTTATCTGTTTCAGTGGGTAAGTTCAAAGATAAGACAAGCACACTCACTAGATTCAATCATATCAAATTCACAGACTTAGAAAAGTAACAAAAAATAAAAGTTTCAACTTTCTAATTCTAAACAAGGTCTTACCCATATGCTGACGTCTTTTTTAGAATGGACTGTGGCTGCATGTGCATGAGAGGCATGGGAACTCCCGGCATGCCTGGGAGAGCCATGGGCATAGGCATGTCTGTGGGGAGGGGGATGGCGCCGGGAACTGGGGAGCCACAGACACGGCCAGTTAGAAAGACACAAAAATGACACAAAATCCTTCCATAATCTCTGTATTAAACCTTTCAGGACGCCTTTCAGATAACAAAAAGACATAACTTTGTTGAACAAATACTGATACATGATTTGACAGACACATTTTTTTTTCCTAAAGTACTTTATTCCCCACCACGATATCTGAATTTAAGGCATGGATTACTATTACCGAATGGCATCATGCAGAAGAGTTAATGCTCAGATGCTACTGGATCGCTAACAACAACAACAAGGCATGGATCATCAATAAACAAAATTTTAAAAAGAGGAATACAAGTTTCTAGATGAAATGTCTTAGAAGAACTCTAAGAACATCCTGGAGACAGAAAATAAAGATTGAAGAGGTACTAATGAAAGACACAATTATATTTTTTAAAAGTTAAGTTCTCTCTGTCCTCTCCCCATGTCATATGCACACTAACAAATGTGGGTATAAAATCCCCCCCCCCCCTCCCCTAACAAATCTGGGCTTCTGGGCTATGTTTTAGTTCATTCTTCCATAGTCTTGTTTGCCTTTCAGTTTAGTTTAAGTAAGAGTTTTATGGCACTTGCAACACAAAGAGGACATATAAGTGCCAAAGATTAGAGGTGTTACTAGAGAGTACATACAGAGAAAAGAAGAACGAGAGATAAGGACAATACATAGATGTTTGATAGGAAAGAAGGAATAAACCATAACACTACACTTGTCAAATACCGACCTGTAGAGTCAATATAATGGAGGTTACATCTCACTAAGAACAGATCAAGATAAAAGAAAAACAGACAAGAAATAGTAAGAGCTGGCCACACAAACGCACCCGCTCATCACTATTGGCACCTCTTCTGATTACACTCTCTCGATGAATGATATCATCATTATCAGGTGCCAGATCTGAGACAGACATCAGCGATCATGGTTCGCCATTCATTCCTTTCCTTAGACACTCTCAAAAAAGCTATACATGTACTATCCGGATATTTCCCTATCATCCATCTGTTTAGGCTCTCTAAAGAAAGTTGCTCTAGGTCTACCCGTGCCTCATTTGCCTTCAAAAAAAAAAAGGCGGCCACACTGTAAAGAACACTGTATGTTAGGACACATAAACCATACATACTTGATGGATCAACTGGTGCATCTGGCAATGGAATTTGGTCAAGCTGCACTTTCTCAGCATTTCGCACTTGATCTGAAAAGGTAGACAGAATGCAAAAGAAATAGGACGAAGCCCTGTAATCAAAACATCATGCTTAAAAAGAAACATTGGGCTTGAGTTGCTCCACATTTTAAAATATAAACTTATGGTGCAACTGCATGACAGATAAATAAGGCATACACATCAGGCCTGGCACAGGCAATCTTCAAAACATACGGGATGTTGTGTAGAGATTGTACACTAAATACCAAGTTCAAAAAGAAGATAAGAAAAACGAAAAGTGTTTGTAATCTGAGTGTTGTTTTTTGATACGGTTTTACCAAGTCCAGTGGAAGGTAAGTTTTAATCAATTTCATGTAAATTGTGTTTTTTAATTTTTGTTCATAAAACATGGAAAAGGTGCTTTCAATTGTTTTCTTGTCTACGAATGAAAGTGGTATAAATATTGCACCTAATGGGAAGCACTCTGAGATCAAGCATTAATTTTTTTAAAATTAAAATTAACACTAAAACTGTTCTCAACCTTTCTCTTTGAGGATCTATTGAACGACGAAAATCTACACTCAGTTAAAAGTTACAATTTAAAAAAGACATGCATCAAAATCAGTGCACTTTCAAATCAATCTCAATCCAGAAGTCAATTTGAATAATAAGAAATCATAAAAAGGTGCATACAAGGATTACGATGAAACCCACACAGAACAGAAGTGGGATACATACCAAAATACAACTGGAGCTGTGACCTTGTTTTCTCATATTCAATGTTTGCCTTCTTCAGTTCGATGGCGTATTCAGGTCGTTCTTTTTCCTGTATAACAAAAATAAAACAGTAAAACTAAAAAAATGAACAGCTACAAATTTTGAAATAAAGTCTTATATATAAAAAAAAGAAGCAGATCTTGATCTCTTCCCTCATGACACAAGATGCCTTTTAGAATTAATCACGTAGTTAATACATCTGCGTCTGGGATTTTTTGCTAAATCACCCATCAGTGACGCTCTGTAAATTCTGACCCTTCAGAAATAGCTGCAACACGGTCGAGTGAACCAAAAACAATACTTTGATGTATCCTGTCAAATTTCTTATGACACTCGTTAAATCATTGACCAGCTACTCCAATACAGTATGGAGCAGGTATGAAAATGTGTGTTGTCAAAAGTACGGTCTAGACAGTGCTTTTTATGACAGTGCTCTGTCAAGTTTCTAATGACACTTGTTAAATCATTGACCAGCTACTCCAATGCAGTATGGAGCAGGTATGAAAATGTGTGTTGTCAAAAGTATGGTCTAGACAGTGTGTTCTATGACAGTGCTATAATAAAGACTATTACTGTTGAACAGGGCAACTTATTAATAGTTGGTGTACACTTACGTAGAGTTTGAAGACTCTGTCAAATGTTTCCCTCAGTTTTTTCCGCTTTTCTTTCAAGACTTTCTCATTCAAGGACGGAGGCTGCATGGGGTTGTACTCTGAAAAAATTATTGGTTATGAAGAGCCATCACTTTACGGAGTACACAAACGGGAAACATTATCCAAAAAATAAATAGTTAAAAAAAGAGGGTTTACTGAATGCCACAAATCGTAGAACAAGTAATTGTAATCCTTGTGAGCTGCTCCTATAGACTGAAAAGATTTTATTACAGGGTACATAATACAATGCTGACAACTTATTCAGTGAAATACACACCAACAGGCCAGACATTAGAAACAAAGGTAACCACTCCCCCATTATCCTGTCTCAATAGTTTACTGAATCTAATTAATATTAATATAACCAAAAAAAAAACCCCAAAAAACCGAATCAAATGAGGAAACATATTTTTTTTTAGACATGAAAGTAACATACCCATTCTGTCAATCACTTCCATTTCTTCGAGAAGCTTTAATGGGTCTTTGCCTTTCAGGACAGCTGTTCTCACCATGATCCTCTGTTTTTTGTTCTGCAACCAAACACCAAAACAACAATTAAAATTTTCCAAATTCCACAAATCATCGTCACAGTTTTTAAATGAACTGTTTGTTCCCCTATTTCAAACAACATCATCAAAATTCAACATAATCTTAGACACCAAACATTTTACATTGACATCCGAATTTTACATTTCACAATTTACTAACTTTCCTGTGAAAACAATCTGTCTGATTATTTTTTAAACTTGAAAACAAGAAAAAAAATGTGAATAAGAGAAACACCTAGTACATACCATCTTGAAAACTTTCAACTATTTCAATGCTTTGGAGCCATTCTTTTTTTTTTTTTTTAGAGTGGCAGTGATGACAGAATCTCTATAGTCATCATTATATTTCATAACCTACGAACCCTTGTGACTGACCTGAAGTTCACATACTTTTAACAGGAGTTTCTTTTTATATTTTTAGAAATTCTAGTTGAAATATGTAGGCTTAAAACTACTGACATGGTAGCCAAACTATGAAAACAAGGCTTACCTTTTTCAGTTCCCTTTTTCGTGCTTCCTTTCCTGTGAAAAAAAAAAAAGTACAGCATTAAGAAAAAAGGGCACAATAATGAAACCACTTTGGAAATCTAATCGTCCTTTCTGTTACAGAACTGTTTTGAAACCATAGATCTGTTTCACTTTATATTGAATTATAATACTTATAGAGCCATTGCCAAAACGTGGGGAAAAACACACACATCTCACATTAGTGTGCATAAAATGTGATGCATTAGTATTTATTCCTCCAAAACTTATACACAAGTCAGATATAGGATGTAGAACCTGCATTAGCAGTTTCAGACCACATGTCAGCTTTATAATCTTGAGTTTGTAAATTTTGTGCCAAAAATGTTCGTTTTTTAGTGATTCCTGGAGTGTCATTTTGAGCACACCAATGCAAACTTCCAAGAATGTCCAAAATTTAGTATTTTTGGGTGGGGGGGTTTTACGTGTGCTTTGATCCTATGTTATTTGTCATTGAGAAAGGTTAACTTGCTCAAGAAATCGGTTTATTTGTTTGCAAATAGACGAACAATTCGGATTACTTGTGCGTCTGTCGTGTCGTCACGGACTAGGTGTTTCAGAAAACACCATTATTTTTCAGTAGAATCACCGTATCTGGTTAAATCTTTGCCTATCGTCGTTTATTCAATACTTCAAAAGCCGCGATGCGCGAAAGGAACGTCGGGTTCCTAGATCTACGATTTCAGTCGGCTGTTTAACATTCGCCGTTATTGTCGTCAATTTGCGACGTGCCGGAAGTCCGAATTTCGCCCACTTTTGTTTTGAACGGGTCATCAACAGTGCCCGGATATAATTGTTTTCTTGAGTGACTTCCCCTTACCCGCTTCCCCAGAACAACGGAAGCAACGGGGGAAACAGAAAAACGAAAGTAGTCATTGCCTCCAGCGTCCGGTACGCACAAGAATTTTGCGTTGAATGTGACGTACTGAGCTGTTTTGCGTGTTTTTAGGCTACTCTGTTGAATATTTTAGTGAAATTGCGGTGTTTACACTGGATTCCTGGAACAAGAGTGTGATGTGTGAACAGACTTCGAGAAATGGATCATTTCTGTGGTTACGGATTTAGCTTTTGTGCTCAGTGATGACGTTTGGGGTGTCGTCATGCAGCCGTACAAGACTGACTGACGTACTAGAAATTACATTGTCCTAAGAGCAAACATTTTTTAAGTAATGCGTGCTCTCTTTACTCAAACAAATAAACAAACATGTCCTTGTTTATCTGTCTAAATCAAAAATACACATTTGTTCTTTGTTGGTATGATATACCCTTTTCCAATACATTGTGTCATCATTGTTATGTACAAGTAATATTTGTCATCATTGCTAATATCAATAAGTTTTCAACATATATTTCATATGCAAGATTCATTTAGAAGCAAAATACGCCTTTATTGATCTGTGTATCTCTTAGTGCAAATTTGTTCTTTGTAGGCATGATTTTACCTTTTCCCAGTATGTTTTGTCATCACTGTTATGTACGAGTACTGTTTGTCATAATTAGCAACATAATTGTGATCGTCCACTGTCTTTGATATGACCTGATATCTGTTTCAAAGCAAAAGAAACCTCTCCTGGGTTTTTTTTAATTCTTAAAAGTGCGCTTTTCTCTGTGGAGGCAAGACTTTTACCTTTTCCTGTACATTGTGTCATCATTGTTATGTACAAGTCATGTTTGTCATCACTGTTATGTACAGGTCAGCTCAATTGATTTTGTGCTTTTGCCTCATATTAGTTTAAAAATTGTTTTACACATGTGTTTTTCTGGTACTGAGGCTTTGATAACTGTATTTGTACAGCCTTTCACTATTGTGATGTGTTGTCAATGATAATGTCCAATGTGTATTCTTTCTTGTACATAACAATGATGACATGTTCTGTGCACTGTGTTTACTAAACAAATGGAATTTAAAGTCCATAATTTGCCTTGCTGCTTATCTGTTTTTGTCATCACAGTTCATCATCATCATCATCCAGTGCCAGATCTGCAACAGACATCGGCGATCATGATTTTCCATTCATTCCTTTGTTCGGATGCTCTCAGAAAAGCTACGTTTTCCTGATTTTTCCCTGTTACCCTTTGTTTAGGTTCCATAAGTATGTTGTTCTGGGCCTACCCCTGCCTCGCTTGCCCTCAATTTTGCCAGTGAGAGCTAGATGTTCAAGACCCTTATGTCTATTCAGGTGTCCCAAAAACTGCATTTGTCGTTTCCTGATTGTCCTGAGCGCCCCACGTGGGCTTCATCAAGCACTACCTCATTTGATTTCTTTTCCTTCCACGATACTCTTAGCAGTCTCCTAAGAAACCACATTTCTGTTGCCTCTATTTTATTTTCACTGTCTTTAGTGATTGTCCAGCATTCACAGCCATATAGAAGGGTTGAACAAACATAGCATTTCAGGACTTTCATTTTGGTGTTCATTGATATGTTTCTATTTTTCAGGATTGGGCTCATTTTATTGAAACTAGCCTTAGCCATTGCAGTTCTCCTTTTTATTTCTGCGGAGGATTTGGCATCAGATGTTATCATATATCCTAGATATTTAAACTGTTGGACTTGTTTGATCTTTTCACCTTTGCTAATGAGATTACAACTAGGATTTGCTGCTTTTTTGGATATTACCATGCATTCTGTTTTCTTTACATTCAACAATAATCCTTTATGTTCACTTTCTTTTACAACAGTACCTAGAAGCATTTGAAGGTCCTTTTCGGAGCCTGCTATCAAAACCGTGTCATCTGCATACCTGATGTTATTAATATTTTCTCCATTAACTTTGAGGCCTGGACATTCTTGTATGTTTCTAAGGATTGTTTCACTGTACATGTTAAAGAGGTCTGGTGACATAACACATCCTTGCCTCACTCCTCGCCTAATCTGCTTATATTCACTGTATTCTCCATTAATTCGTACAGCAGCGTTTTGGTCCCAGTACAAATTTCTGATAATTCTTAGATCTTTTCCATCTATGTCTAGCTTTTCCAGTATTTTAAATAGCTCATCATGTCTAACTTTATCGAACGCCTTTGAATAATCTATGAAACATAAATACAGATCTTTCTGTGCTTCAATACATCTTTCCATTAACATTTGTAAAGTGAATATAGCATTTCTGATGCCCTTGTCAGGAACAAAGCCGAATTGCGTTTTAGATATCTCTGGTCTTACACTTTTTCTCAATCTTCCCATTATTACTCGCAACAATATTTTTGTAAAATGACTCATAAGGCTAATTGTTCTATGCATAATATCACACTCAGTGGCACCTGGTGTTTTAGGTAAAGCTATAAAAACTGATTTCATCATATCTTCTGGGATCTCACCGCTGTCATAAATAGCATTTAGGAGCTTTGTTGTTATTTCAGTGCCTAGTTCTTCGAGCGCGACAATCACTTCAACTGGAATATTATCTGGCCCTGTGGCTTTTCTTTGTTTCATTTTCCTAATGGCAGCTTGTACTTCTGCTTTCAGTATTGGAGGTCCATTTATTTAATTCTTTATTACCGGTTTTTCTCCTCTAATATCTTTGAAAAGTTCTTCTATGTATTCTGACCATCTGTTTAAGACATCCCCGTTGTCCATTAAAATATCCCCTCCCTTTGATCTTATGCATCCTGTATTTGAGCATCCTTTTATCCCACTTATTTCTTTGATTTTTGAATGCATGTATTTGCTGTCTTTGTTTTGGTTCTTCTCTATTTGTTGACACTGATCGTTTATCCATGTTTCTTTTGCTTCATTGCATTTTTTCTTTATTTTCCTGTTTAAGATGTTGTACTTTTCTACATTTGATTTTGCCTTCTTCTCTCTTCCATTAGGTTTAATATGTCCTGGGTCATCCATTTTTATTTGCTTTTTTAGCTTTCGGGGGGACATTTTCTTCCATAGCTTCTATTATTGAGTCTTTCATTTTCCTCCATAGTTCATCCGATTTAGTAATGTTTTCCAAAACTTGAAATTTATTTCTTACATCTATGGAGAAACGTTCTTTCATTTCTTGATTTGTCTTTAAAAGACCAATGTCAAATTTATGTTCATACTTTGACTTTTTGAGTTTCTTTAGTCGTATCCGGATTTTACACACGACTGGTACATGATCACTATCACAGTCTGCTCCTGGCATTGATTTAGATGATTTTATTGTGTTTCTAAAACGTTTCTGAAAAAGTATGAAGTCTATTTGATTTCTACTTCTATCGCCAGGACTCTTCCAAGTGTATCTTCTTCTTGGGTGATTTTCATACCAGGTTTTTGACATCATAAAGTTATTTTCTCTACACCATTCTACCAGTCGTTCCCCGCGTTCATTCTCTCTACCCAGCCCCCATGGCCCAACTATATATCTTCTATACGTGTACTTCCTACTTTGGCATTAAAGTCTCCCATGACTATCTTTAGATCTTGTGATTTTAACTGTTTTATTGCCATATCAAGGTCTTCATAAAAAGTCTCAATTTCCTCGTTGTCATGCTCTGATGTTGATGCGTATATTTGGATGACACCTATGTCAAAAGGTTTTCCCTCTAATTTAGCCATGATGACTCTATCTGACACTCCCCAAAAACCTTTGATGCTCTTTGCTGTTGCTTCGTCCAATAAAATTCCGACTCCTCTTTCATGGGTTTTTCCTCCTGAATATATAATTGTTTTGGATCCTCTTTTAATCAAGCCTGCCCCCTCCCATCTAACTTCTGAAAGGCCTAACATATTTAGCTTCATCCTATCCATTTCCTGTTCTATATTATCTAATTTGCCATCACTGTTACAAGAAATACAGTGAGTAGTCGTCAAACCAATAGACCCATATCTCCAAAACCATACATCTCCTTGCTCTGATACTCTAGGAATATGAGCACTAAATGTCAATCTGTGACTGACAGAAAAGAGTGTCAAATTGGTAAGAAAAATTTTTTTGCACCACTGAGTCTCAAGTCAAGAGAGTCTCACGTTTTGGCAATTGCTCCCAAAAAAGGCCGGCAGACCAACAACAAACAAAAGTGGGGATGTTTTGAGTGGGCTACATACAAATCCTAACCCGGTAGAAGTGCATTTTAGGTTTGTAAATTATTAGACTCAATGTACAACAAAAACAGCCCCCTGCGGAACTCCTCCCGAAAGTTGTGTCTAGGCCTAGCCTAGTGCCTAGTGTAGTGGATGCCTGCAGTGCATTGGCCCTCCTGGGAGTGTGAGTGATCGTTTAAAAAAATGTTTTTCATGTAGGAAATGAACCAAAGATAATTTATCTTAGATGTACAATTGTTGCAAAAGCATTTAAATTCAAAATCAACCATCTCATGTCTCAAACTCATCAACGCTGCGGCAATAAAGTTGCCTGAGTTGCTCTTCTTTTCTATTTTCTATCTCCGTAGCCGTAAACTGCAGAGCAGGTTGAACTGCGATATGTAGAGAATCTAGAATACTTACGAAACTGATCTGTGGGGTTCATATATTTCCCACTCTTGGTGGTGTTTATGGATCTTCGACCCATCTTGGATTCTTCTTCCGTATATTCACCAACAAACTAAGGGTAAAGTAGGAGCGTTTGTTGACTTCACAATACAAACTAAGCTATCCTCGCAAGCATCAATATTCGGCGGCCATGATTTCACCATTACAGGCCAGATTTTAGCGAGTTTCTTATTAACGTTTTATGTGATGAACTACACACAGGATCACAGATTCCTTCGTTTATAATTTCATTTATACAGATACAATGATTACTATAATCATATAGCGATACTTTGATTGACTTATTGACTGTTCCATATAAACACGTGCTTTATTCAATCAGAGTAATATTTCTCTAGGCCCAAAGCTATATTGACCAACTAGGCAAGTAATTTTCGTGTCCGATGAAATAAAAATGCCTACCATGGTGGCCTGAGTGGAAAAGCAACGGAACAAATAGAAAGAAGAATTCTATTTTGAATAAAAGAGTTTTGGTTTAGAATCTTTCATTGACTTGAAAATGTGATACAATACAGTACAGTACAATACAGTACAGTACAATACAATACGCCTACAATACAATAGACCTGATAATCAGTACAGTTTAGATTAACTAGCCTTGCACTGAAGGTAATGTAATTTATAGGCCTATAATAGGCCAGTAGTATATCATAACACGCCACATGCACACACGCACACACACACACACACACACACACACACACACACATACATACATACATACAGACACACACTC